AATCTTTCCATACAATAAATTTCAGTCCTTGAGCCCTTTTCTTCTTGCAATCCATGTATTCTTTGTTTCAATCCAAGTCCTTCACTTTTTAAATTATTCAATTTGACCTCCAAACATTTCAATCTTCGATTCATGGTCCGAATCAACTATTGAATTTTTACAACTTGGTCCCCAACTTTTGAATTTCGCTATTTTTTGCTTCATTCCTTCAATTCCCTTTTCATTCATAGAATTTACTTATTAAAAATAAGAAACAACAATTTGGAATATAATTTATCAAAAGAACCATCAAATATCTTTATTTTAAGGTACGGAATAAGTGTATAAAATACACTTATCATATATTATAATGTTGTATTAGAGTCAAAATGGTGGAACAAATAGGAGAGGAGATAGAGGTTGGATGAAGCTCTTTGTAGGTGCTGTACATGTACAACACAGTCCGCGCTATTTTTTTTATTAGCACGGGCCTCCCGATGTGAGAGTGTTGTGAACCTAGCTGTGTGTCATGCTGTGTACACAGCTCAGTCCAGGTGATACATTTGTGGTCCATACTCAAATCTCTTTGTACAATTCTGTTTTACTCTTCATGCAAGTACCCTGTACCCTTTTTTATACCATTTACCCACGCCTATCATTTTCCTAAACAAATTGTTTATGAATTCGATAAATTTTATTTTTAAGCAAGTTGCATTGGTTGATTGAACAGTGAAAATATTTGGATTTGGGTGGAATTTGTGGTGGACCTTTTAGTTTCTTGCTATTTTTAAATTCAGAGTACTAAATGAATAAAATTGGATGATGGGGTGCACTTCAGTAAAAAAATTCCCCATATATTTAATTTTAGGGCAACATTACAATTCATCATGAGATAAAGTTTTGTAGACTCAATCAAAAAGATGGATTATAATCTGAAAACAAAGCAGTCATCTGCATTAAATTATTCTTTAGAAATTTAATTGGAATCTTTGATAACCTTATCCAATTAAAATCCAGCACTTGAACATTCCAACAGTTTTTATTTTATCATCTACTATTCTTATAAGGGTTATTCTTTGGTGACAGGGCCCTAGACGTCCAAGGCCCTATGTGGCGTCGCCTGCCTGTCACAAGGGTTGTTGCGTATTAGAATTTATTGATTGACAAAACTTGAATTAAACTCCATAAAGAAGAAGAACAAACTCCATAAAAGGAGAACAAAATACACTCCGCAATAGGAGGAAATGACACTCCATTAAAGGAGGAAGAATCACTCCATATTCAAGGTAATTAAATCCCAGATGACCCTTTTGCCTCCCTCGTACAAAATCACCTTACCAATTGGCAATTGACAATTGACACAGCATAATAAATATATACATCCAACTATGTTACAAAAGCAATACGATAAAGGAAAATTCTTACTGACGACGAGAGTACGAGAAAGCGTCCATTTCTGAGCGCGACCAACAATGGAGAAGGGCAGCCAGTGGGTTGGTATAAAGGAATGCAGCAGTGACACAGTGGCTATACCTCCGATTGTTGACAGATCCTCTGCATTGATAGTGAATTTTCCATCTTCCATTTTTTCTTCTTTTCAATATTTTTGTGGTTTTATTGTTGGATGTGAAAAGGAGAAACAAAAATTATAATGAATTTCGAACAACCCCTTACATTTAGCATCTGCCAAAAAAGTTCAGGTGGCACGTAGAAGATCGGACTCAGCAGAGAATAAGACGGAATTTTATGAGCTACGATTTGTTCATTAAAATAGTGTTTGTAAAGTGGTCTAAAATTAGACTTTAAGCAGAAGAAAATGATATTGAAAGTTTAATTTATTATTAGCATTACTCTAAATAAATCGGCCTCCATTTGGTGAACAGTATTTTTTGAAAAATGAGTGATTGAAAAAAATGAAAAGTTTTTGATTTACGTGTAATATTATTTTATGAAAGATTGTGTGGTTGAAAATATGAGAGAGAAGAATGAAATAAAATTTAATGAAAGCCAAACGGGGGCTGATTGTGCTAAAAGGCTATAACTAATAACGTATTCTTGATAGACATTTTATGTTTCACCCTAAATAAAAATAAAATCAAAATACTATCGTAAGGTCATTTTAATGAAAAATTCCCTCAATTAATTAATATCGTACCTTTTGAACTGATAGGATTGACAGCTATTCTTGCCCTTGTTTGGAATGGATTAAAATCGAACTTTTAGTAAATTTTAATAAAAGTTGATAAAATGTATAATTGAAAAATTATGAAACTCATGAAATATGATATTAAAATTAATTGTTAACTTTAACATATATTAAAATTTGAATTTTAATCCATACCAACAGGTTCCTAATATTGCTTGGCATTCAATACTCTGTTTAGACGAGTAATGGGTCAGTCTGATTCGAATCAAATACTCGTTGAAGTTTGCGTGGTGTATTTCAAGTTGGAACCTAAAAGTTTTTTTTTTAATGTAAAACTTAATTAATCACTGAAGTAAATTATTATTATTTAGAAAAAGTAAATTAATGTTACGAAATGGCAAAGTCAGTGAAAATAATGTCTAATATGATGTGGAGGAATCCAGCCTCAAGTCCTTTGCCATACGAGTTAATTTCACAAATGATATCTGATGTTTGTACGAAGTTTCAAGTAGGTCCTTAAAATTTTTTTTAACTCATTTAGTAACTGAAGTTAATTAGCATTACATAAATGGTCACCCAGTGAGATTAAAGCTGGACTATAACGGCATTAGGTGGCCGTTTTTGTCTAGCTCCACTTCCTTGTCCCCAGTGGACAAGACAGATACCGGGACCTCGGGAAAGGCACGACTATCAAGAATTCGACCCTAGGAATCGGTCAATGTTGATACAATTTCAGGCAACAAGATGCATCATATCAAGTTGACACACACTTCTCATTCTTAGAACACTACTTCACAGCAAACTTGATTCTAACCTTCGATGGAGACTTGAGATATCTTACCATACAGCGCCTCAGTCTTCTCTCTCGTTCTCTCTTCCTCCTCTTTTCCCACTGACAGAATACCAGAACCCGATCACATCCCTAACGAAATATTCCAACCAATCACATCGCTGACTTTGTTCTTTTCCTGCCCAGGCTTCGCTTCAAAAATATTCTTCCATCCTCAACAGGTACCATCCTCCATTCTCTTCTACACATGAATGTCAGTGTACAAGCGTTCTTGTAACCTAGTCCACTCTCTATTCCAACAAACAAGAAATTACTTGAAAAGGGACTAGATGAAAGAACAGTATAATTTCTTGTTTCACCATGATGATAAGAGAATAGGGATTTTATTGTGGTGGAGAAGAAGCAAAAGAAAAAAATTAAATCACAACCTGATCCTGCTTATTTACCGGCTTCCTTCAGTGAAAATGAAACCCACAATGAAGAATCAAAATGGCTACTGTCTCTCCAGCCCTGCTAACCTAAACAAAACTCCAAACTCCTATAGATTTTTCAGATCTAGAAAATATGGGAAAATTAAAGGAAACAAAACATACAAATTCCCTTCATTTTCTCCTTAACCTGCTTTCATCCGTCATCTGCGATAACACGGAAAAGAAATTTTAAAAAATGATATTTCTTCTTCGTCATTTTCAATCTTTTTGTCCCTATTTCAATGTTTCTAAATGCAAATTTATCTAAAGAACAACTGCATTTACCATCTACAAAAGTAACAGCCAATGACTGATCATTACAGAAACCTTTGGCTCCATCTGGATATTGGACTCAGTACTAAGAGGAAGAAAATTACCACAGAGCAAAAGCTCTCATACAGGATGAATATCAAAATACCATTTCAGGATTTTGAGTGCAAAGTAATTAACAAGCACTAATGGTCAACATCAAATTCTTATTTCAGAAAACTTTCTTCTTAAATCTCTACAAGACAGACTGATAATCGAATCTCTTTACTTGCCAGAGATGCCTGGAATGAACATTGGGAGCTGCAAGAAAACTCATAAACACTTGATATTCCATCTCCACAAATAAGCAAGCCTGTGCCAAGTTACAACACTAAACAGCAAAACACTAATAAATTGTTGAAATTCAGGAAATATAAAATAACTGAAAGGAAATAAGAATTAAAAAATTCCCCCACGTTCTCTATATTCCATTTTTCATTCTTTCACTTGTACAATAACCAAAGAAATACTTATTTTCCATCATATAATCAAAAGTCTCCGCATCTTCCATCTTCAAATGTAAAAGTAAAAGCAAAAGCCAATCCTGGAATCTTTAAAGCTGGAACTAATAAGCTAATTTAACTTTCTATAAGCATGTCGATTGTCATACAGAATTTTCTGTCGTGAACTGTACACCTAAAAAGGAGTTATTATATACACAATTATACATGTACATACATCCATAGACAAAAACAGATACATCGCATCAATTTGAGCTCCCTGAAATGACAACATAGCCAATATGCAACACAATAATTCTGAATAATGAATGTGCAATAACAATCCACTCTTATTATAGGAACGAACAGAAATCTTCCACAGCAACTGTCAAGAGTGGAGGCTTGTATATAAATAAAGTGAGAAACTGAGGGTTCTTTAGTATCCCCTCTAGAACCTCTGATGTAGTATCATTAAATAATAAAACCCAGGAAAAAGAAACTGTACAAAATCATGCTTTTTCTCTCTGTATCATTTTGATGAGTGTACAACCCGCATAATAACTATCACAAAATGAAACCTATCTGGATTCTATTTACAGAATAAATTACCAAAATCGATTTTAAGCTTAGGTAGAAAGAAAATAATAAGCACTGAAGTCAAGTATCAAATTCTTACATTATTGAATTTTTGCATTCTTAAATCTGTACAGGAGAGACTCTATTGATTTTTGTAGCCTCGAGCTCTCAACTTGCCTGACAGCCTCAGATGCCTGGTGTAAACTTTTGATTCCACGACCCAAACTAGCAATTGATGGAGCCACAGGAAATGACTCTGCAGCACATTCAATTCCATCTCCATAAACTAGCAAGCCTGTGCAAGTAGCAATACTACATCCAAAGGTAGCCCAGGGCAAAGCTCCAATGGATCTGACTCGGCGTTTCCTCATTATTTCATAAAAAGCTGTTCTCATGGCAGAAAGACTAGTTTTCTCTGCGGATGCTATAACACTGTGAGATATGGCACGGATTTTCTCAGCAGACAAAGCAGCCTTCAGGGTAGAACTTTTCAGTGCAGAACTTCCCAATCCTGGGGCTACCACTTTTGCTGGACCAAGACCCTTTCCAAGCGCCAAAAAAATGGCCTTTTGTGTTTGAGTCAAGATAAGTTTTAGTGAAGTTGGGATGTGGAAGGTTGCAATTTTGATAAAAGTTGAAGCTGGAATGACTTTAGAGAGGGAAGAGACACCAAATACTGCTGTTGCACCAGCCCCAACTGCCACCACAGGTTTATCAGCCAACAAGCGCTTACAACGGTGTGGGATTTCCTCATTATCTCCACAGTCAGTTATAAGCTCTTCAACTGTATTTTTAACCTCTGGAGGAACAGGGGTGTTCCAGTGTTTCCTTAGTCCAGCTAAGGTACTAGCATCAACTACCGCAACTATTGATTTGAACTTCTTAGTTGGGCTTTGAAGAGCCTGTGCAAGAATGGCATGTGACTGATCCTCTACAGGGAGATCGCAGAACTTTGTGTTAGCCAACATGGGGTCTCCTATTTTGCTCAAAGGAATCCGGCCGGCATTATTCAAGGCCATTCTCAGCCCCTCAACTGCAACACGGAATAAGTACAATTCAGATAGGAGCTGGGAACCAACAATTTCTCCCTTGTTAACATCACTAAGAATTTTCTGAGCACAAGCCAGAGCCCTTCCCATAGAGGGGATGTCAACAAATATGTCATGCAAATCAACAAGCAACGGATAGACAGATTTTGCAAACTGTGGAGCCTCATAATCAACAAGAGGCCTAACATCTTCACTGCCGAGTTTCGAAATGGTACTTGACTGAACCAAATATGTAGATAGCCACTTCACCATTTGAGATTGAACATCATTTGTAATATAAAAACCCCTCGACCTCACAGAAACCATATTTCTTCCAGGAACCAAATAACTTGGCTGAAAACCAAAAGCACCTCGAAATCCATTTCCTGATTCCACCACCTGCTCTACCCCTGTGTCTGAATCACATTCACTATCTCCGTCTATGAAGCAATTCATGAAAGGGGACTCAAGCATAAGTAAGGAAGAACCAACTTCCTCAGCAGCCTTCTTGGCAGCCATAAAATGAGCATTAAAACTCACCCCAAAAACTTCCTTCAAAAATAAACTCCCAGCCACTTTCTCATACTTCTCCCTATTAGTCTTATGCACAAAACACCTTTTCAACACTTCAAATGATGATGTCGGTACAGTATACTCATCAACACTATTACCATTTTCTCTACTCTCGCTAATGCTGTCGTTCGTTGACCAAATTCTACCATTCTGCAAGTCAATAATGTCCGAATCATTAAAATTTCCCACATGAACAACAACAGCATCAGGCTTAATCGCTCTTATGAGACAATCAGCATCCGAAGCTGACCTTTCTGATAATTTCTGAACAGACAGTATATAGATAATAGACTCTGATTCAGGCTCACGGATAGCGTAAACAAACTGCTTCGTACTTTCAGGCACCGGTAATTTTTTCACAATTCCATCTGATGCTCTTAAATAATTATTGATTATAAATGCAGAAAAAGGCCATATATGTTGCATATATTCCACCACCACCTCCATAAAGAATATATGCGCTTTAGCCTAATTTTGGCATATAAACATCAAAATCAGAAAACCCAGATGCAAGATTTTACTTTACTCGGCAATTCACCAATAAAGTATTCAGATAAGAAAACCCAAGCCTCATAAACATATATACGTCTGAATCTGTAAATATATCCTTATGTATGAACATAACAGAGAGAAAAATAAAATAAAAAGGGTTTTTGAGGTACCTACGGATGTTCGGTGCAGAGGGAGATTGAGAAAGAAACTAGTAAAGAGGGCCTCCGGAAAAATCGGCTGAAAGGAAAAGCAGATGAGAAAACCGATTACAGTTTATTTATATCGAAAGCAGTTGAACCGGGCTTTTTGGGTTATTAATTAGAGTAATACAAAATAATTAATAAATCACAAATTTATTTCACTTTCAAGCTTTCCATTTTAGACGACAAATTTATTAGAGAAAGACTACACGTACAAAAAAAGTGACAGAATTGATCAGAATAGATACAATGGAGGTGGTCAGGTGGGTGATTTTTTTCTTGATAATATTTCATTTATATGGAGCCCACATTCCATGTGAATTCCTGTACTATTTCTATGAAAAAATCTTCTGTACAAATGACAAAAACCAATTTATTATTATTCAAAATACAAATTCGTTAGTATATTTAATCAACAAATTTATGAAAAATGACTTTAAAACTAAATCAAGTTTTTATTATAGAGTAGTATCTTATAATCGAGCTAAAACCATTTCATTATTGATTCTAAGACCCAAAATCAGACTTTAACTTGAACCAATAGAACCAACTAGCTTAGTCTATGGTGGTGATGGTCAAGTGATTCCGGATAAAAATGCCCACATGTACTTATAAAAAACACAAATTTCTAATGTGTACATGAATATCTCAAACAAAGTATTATTTCAATCCTTTATGTATTGTAATTAGGAGTCGAATAATATGACGTACATTATCTCCAACTCCATTCAACAATCAGCTCAAGATTA